CTAATAATATTTACACTCCATATATACCTCGGAATCCACATCAGCGGTCCATGTTCCCCTTCAGTTCATGTTTCATGAGTCTCTGAATAATATACACGTGGTTTCGGTTCCGTCAAGTATTTCCCCTATGCGATTGATTCTCTACATCATTTTGTTGTTGACTGTGCTCCGATTTTTGATAGGGCTACCATAGTATACATTCCTGGATCCTGCTATTCATTTTCAACATCAGCTCTTAATCATCCAATCGCTCAGCTTTTCCGTTTTTGTTCTCCTCTATACGTGTTCTTCTAACGTATACCAAACATCGTATCAAGTGACATTCCCACACTTCAAGAAAGACCACAAATCAGATCATCTTCAGCCCTCCATCTATAGTATACATGTTGATAAAAATATAATTTTATAATAATTGGTAGACCAAGTCAATGCAGGAGTTTGGAAGCAAAGTTCTGATGTAGTGTCTAGGCATTCTAGGTTAATCTTTCGTATCGGAGTACATTTTTCAGTACTGCATCAACCTGCGCTTAGAGGTTTACACATTATTGCAGAATCCTCCACAACATATCCTAGGTCTGTTCATGAATCACGCGTTGATTTGGTTTCTTCTTCATATTTTCATTCACAAGAATGTCAACTTGCTCTAATTATGATACAGATCGTGAGCGAGTCCGGTCAGTTCTGCCAGCGTGATTCATTCCCACTGCCATCTGCTAAAAGACGAATGCCGATTCCACTGTGTACTATGGATTTTGCCTTAGGCAGATAAACGCACTAGTTACCGGATTTCCTTGAAGACCCTTCGACATGAAGCAATTTATTCGGTTAGACAAGTTGCACTTCAACATTTAGACATGGTCTTGACAGTGGCTCACCTCCTTAGTACTCTACAGATAGCGGCTTATGAATCAATGTTCACCCTCCCACCAACGCACACATTTGAATAGCGGTTCAAATCGAAACACCTATTCACTTCTATCAGTTTTACTGTGCATTCATATAAAAAGGTAGACTGTTGATATATTCCACCAGTCCGACAAAAGAACTCTCATGGTATTACTCCGTATATTGCTAATAATTCGAACTGAGTTTAGCTAAAATGCTAGACGACATTCGTCGAAGTTAACGAATCTCCCTAAAATGAGAGTTAGGAATGTGTAATTTCTCTTCATCGGCGGAGGCTGTGGAAGTACAATAGATCCAATAAAAACTAAAGAAATTAGCGTTTTGTTCTATTTCCAAACTGACAATCATTTAATCCTCAATGGAATTAAGGGATTTCATTATGTAAATGATAAAAATGCAACAACTTCTGAGAAGGACAGTTCCTCCGATATCTTGGTCACTCTGTCAACAATATTTTATTATCGGTACCTCAGCGATGCTTTGCTCTTTGACACGTTTTGCTTACCTGGTTTTTTTTACACTTAAACATATGTCTGTATCACAAACCCGAATATCTTGTTTAGACTGCTGACGAAATTGCGTAATTTATTTGCCAGTGCTTCGTCACCAACTCTGGCATTATTGCAATTGGATGTGATACGTCGCCATGACAATTAAGTAGAAAAAATGAACCCAATTTCTAAATGCATCATCTTGAAAACATTCGTTGGTGAAGGTGTCGGATTTCAAATGTACAACTGAATAGTAGTACTTCCGCCACCAATTCATCGAGGGTAACAAATTTGTCAAAGGTGCATTTCCGACCATCGTACGGAACACAAATGTCTAATGAAAGCAGTTTATTTTTCATGCTAATTTACATTTCACACGCTTTTGAAATTTGAGGAATATTTGAGTAACGGCATTTGCTAGTTCATTCCAAACATAAACATCATCTTTACTTTGCCTTACCAGGTAAATCACATTCCAAACTGCGGTCTGTTGACAAATAAACTTGGATTATTGCTCAGCCTACGCGATTACGAAAGACGACATGCCAGTCGTTATGGAAGACCGCCCGGGATCTGCATGCGAGAGTTCTTGCCCACTACATTTATTGCGGATGATCTGAGGGAACGAGAGACATTCTACCAGGCCTTTCAAGGTTTGTTATTTCGAAGCCCTGTGGTATTTTGTATCTCTAATTGTTAAATTGAACTGTTTCCAAATTTGTTCACTAACCAGAGTACCTGGGCTGTTATAGCCAAAAGAAAAACCACTTGTTGATGAAACCCACATCATTCACAGAAGAGTAAGAGGATGGACACAACTGAAACTCATCATGAAAGATAACGAGAACATCATTATTTCGGGCAATTCAATTATCAGTCAAAAGATTCCCCTCATCAACCAATTGTTGGTCTAGTTCCTTAATTCACAGTGATCTATAGAATATCACTCCACACTGAGTGTCA